TCCCATCACCCCTAGCTAGCACGGCCAGAGCTCAGGGATGATGGGAGTTGTAGTCCAACAACATCTGGGGACCCACAGGTTGACCTATGGACAGCTAGTGAATGAAGCAATTGGAGGAAGAACTCAGTCCGCAAGAAAACCAAACCAGCTCGTCCTTTTTGAATCTCTGCAATTGTGCATGAAAACCATGGACGTGTAAATTCAGACCTATAAAAGTGCTCTGTTGTCATGTCTCCAAATCACCTAGCAGGATATTAAGAGGCTCAGCGATGTTAGGGTTGCCCTCAGCCACCCCTAGAAGCATCACTGGGTGAACAGGGGCTGGTTGCTCAGAAATATTCCCAGACAAATCCCCCATGGCTGGCCTGAGCTGTGTTGCATCATGAAGATAAGAATTAGCCAGAGGAGTCAATCATCTTGGCTAACCGGCTTGGGCATCTTGTGAAAGGGTAGTTAGGAATGCATAGGAAGATTGAACAACTGGCTCAATTAGTTGTTATTCTAACCTGGTCTCCCCCGACACATTCAGTTCTGCACAACTGAAAACAGCCTCCTAAATGTCACGAACAGACATTATACTGCCAAGGGGAGGGGATTCCTTTTAAAAATGATTATTCTTTCTTTCTCTCTTTGCAAGGAGGTGTCGCAGAGCTGCAGTTTAAATCCTGCCAGGTCCCAGGAGCTGGAGCCGAAACCTTCCGGCAAGGTTGATTAAGTCCAGCAATAGACACCCGTCATCCCTGCAACGCAGTAGGGGTAAAATTAAATGAATGGTAGCTTGTCGTGGCCAGAACTCCAATATTAATAAGTGTCACGCTGAGCTCAATGCACCGGCCAATGCATAATTTATCTGGCTTCATAAATATCAAAACATGCCACAGCTGCTAGGACTTTTGGCGCAAACCCCACAAATATTGCTTTAATTATTCAGTGGCTCGGCTCGGCAGAAGCCAGTCAACCAACCACTTCAAAGGTAGAGTTTAATAAAGTATCATTTGCAAGAGACCATCCAGAAAGGGATGGTGGCACTGCCCTTTATTAAGGGATGCAGTGCAATGGGCTAAAAACCTTATCAGAGGCCAGAAATCCCACAGAAAGAGGCTTAAGGAGACCTGCTCAATGGGCTAAGTAAAACATCTGAACAGTGCCCTCGCTAGGGACTGAGACGCACCAAAAAATAATAACAAAAATCACAGACAGGTCTATTTTCTCAGAAGGAAACTGACTAATGTTAAATAGATTTGTAGGAGACTGGTGGTATAGGAGGGAGGGAAGCCTTCATGATTTAAACATATGCAACACAGGTTAACTAAATACATGTATAAATCTAATATAGAACAAGTATTTACATACACACCCAGCCAACTGAACAAAGTTGTTTAGTTCTTAGACTGTAAACAATGCTCTCATTTGGAACTAGAAAGAGCCGCACTGTTGGAATCAGCTAATTTTAGAATTCTACTGTTATGATTTATATCTCACCTTTTCTTCAAGGCATTTTTTATATTCAAGGCATGCATGGTTCTTCACTTGCCATCTTGCATCTACAAGCCTCCCAAACTCTCCTTCCCTTGCATCACTTAAAAAGCTATGGTTTCCCCCAAAGAATCGTGGGACCCAGAATTCATTAAGGGTCTCCTAACAACTCTCAGCACCTGCAACAAACTACAGTCCCCAGAGGGCTGAGCCATGACTGTTAAAATGGCATAAGAGTGCTTTAAATGTTTGGTGTGGAAGTCATAAAGCATTACAAAACATTTAACCTCACCCATTCTCCTGATCTGTCCTTCACCCGAGTCTGTTCCATGGCTATACCTAGAAGTCTGCCGCCTTCTAGATAATCCTGACCTTTGGCCATGCTGGCTGGGGCTGATGGGTTTTGTAGTCCAACAATACCTGGAAGGCTAGCAGGGCAGCTGTGACTTCTAAGGTCTTTCACCCTGAACGGCAGCTGGAGGGAACTGACCAGAGCACTGCCCAAACTGTAAGCTCCTAAGTGAGTTTCCTTACAAGCTCATTCATCCTGAGCAAAGCCCCGGTGTGGTCTTCACTGAAAGGAGAGTGTCTGAATGAGACACAGGTGTGTTTGGAAACAGGTGTGCCATATTGGTTCACTAATCAGAGAGCTCCCTGCAAGCTGGCCTCTCCAAGGGAAACCCAAGTTCACCAGCTTGTTTTCCTATGCTGAGCTTAGCTGAAAGGCAAGAGGATGTCCTTTTTGTTTCATAAATTCCATTACTTCATATATATTTGATATTCAGGTCTAGAAGGCTTTTCGTTCTTGTCTGTGGCATGAGAAAGGTCCCAGGTTTAATTCTCAGCATCTTCAAGGCAGGGATGAAATGGTTCCTGATCTAAAACCCTGGAGGGCCCCTGGCAGTCAGTGTAGATAATACTGAGCTATGAGGACCAATGGCCTGATATAATAATAATAATAATAATAATAATAATAATAATAATAATAATATCCCACCCATCTGACTGGGTTTCCCCAGTATAAGGCAGCTCCCTCTAGTCCTACATTCCTTTTTTTAAAAAAATCATTTTTATTAGATTTTCCACTTTTAACAATCCAATCAAATCACATTAAATATACATATACATATCAAATAATCCAAATATTCTGCCAAATTATAAATTTTTTAATAGGACTTCCCATGCTTCAAGTTCGGAGGGCTCTGATCATCTCATATCTCTACTGCTTTTCATAGTCATTTCCGATGGTTCCTCTAATTCTTTCTGTTGTTAACCTTCCTTCTTTCACAGCCTCTGAGTTGTTCCCACAAGCGAGTTGAAACAAGCAGTGATATGTTTCTGTGTGGATTTTATGTCTATAGTCCTACATTCCTTTGCCCAACAACATTTGAAATCCTAGGGGGAAAATGTGCGGGTGTGTTCATGTCACACATGCTGCTGCCACGTCCCTGCTGCAGGAAGCCGGTAACGAGAATATTCAATGCTACACGTTTCCTGTACAAACTGTGTGTCAGTTCAAATACCCAGAGCAGATTGCATTTCAATTGTGAGGATGACAGATGCTACAATCACAAGGAACAGGTTGGGCTGTTGATGAACGAGAGAGAGAGAGAGAGAGAGAGAGAGAGCAGGAGTTGGAGCCCGAAGCAAATGAATGATGCTCCTTGCATCTAGACAGACAAGAGGCGGGAACAGCTTGCTGTATCTCACATGAGTGTTTCATTGGGGAGGTGAGGGTGGGTGGAAAAAAAGCCAGGGCTGCATTTTGCGTTTCATTGCTGTCTGCCCTTTCTGCAGCACAATGTCTTCTTCCAGTCACACTGCTCTTGAATGAACAAGAAACTTGGCTAACCCACTGAGGCCAACTGATCTTCACAGGGTGTTTAATGGCACATATACCGTATTTTTCGCTCTACAAGACGCACCACACCATAAGACGCACCTAGTTTTTGGAGGGGAAAAACAAGAAGAAAAAAAATATTCTGAATCTCAGAAGCCAGAACAGCAAGAGGGTGAAAGCAGCAATCCCTCTTGCTGTTCTGGCTTTTGGGATAGTTGCGCAGCCTGCATTCGCTCCATAAGATGCACACACATTTCCCCTTACTTTTTAGGAGGGAAAAAGTGAGTCTTATAAAGCAAAAAATATGGTATATCCTTTCCCAGTAGTGCCTTGATTGTACCAAACAGTGATATCCAGTCACTGTATCCAACACACACTAACAAGCAGAGAATTTATTAAATGATGATACAATGGGTATAATTAATAATGTATTACTAATTAGAACTATTATAGCCAATTATTACTATTTTTGCATGGCTCAGTCTGAAGGGAATAGCTAGTTATTCAACGGACTGGAAAATCACAAATTTACAGATCTCAAAAAGCTCTCTGATATTGAATCAGACCCCAGATTCATTTAGCCCCAATCCTATTTACTCTGCTTTTCAAAACTCTTCATTACATATTTTTAGGGGCCAGGCAAAAATGTCTCTCTGTAACCAGGTCTTTGGCTGATTCAGCAACCTATGGCTTTTTAAATGTGTTTGTGGGAAGAGGGGTTATTGGTTTGCTTTTGCTTTTTTGTGTTCCAATTTTGTATTTTTATATTGTAAACCACCCTGTGATCTTCGGGTGAAGGGCAGTATAACAATTTAATAAATGATAGTAATAATAATATATGGTCCATGGGGTCACGAAGAGTCGGATACGACTAAATGACTAAACAACAACAATAATAATATAATGCACTTTTGTACTCTATTTTCACTAATCTATGCTTCTATATGTACCACAGTCCATGCATTTTTATATACTTTACTTGGCTTGGAGAACTGCGTTGCAGAATTGGGAGAAGTTTGAATTTCGCAGGGTAGCTGTGTTTCAGTTGGCCTGTTGTTTCTGAGAATGCATTTGGCAAGTTCGCTGTTAAATGCAAACTGAATCACATTTCTCTCCCACTCCCATAGGATGGGGTCCTGGGAGTTGTAGTCTAAAACAGCTGGAGGGCACCACGTTGACTATCCCTGGTGCAGAAGGTATGTGACAAAGCTGAAGATGGATCAAAGCACCTTGATGTCAATGGCACTCAGTGTGGGGGAAATGTGAGTGAGAGTTGGGGCCTGTAATGAAGCCCCCATAAGTAGCAAAGGAGGAGCAGGGAAGCGTGGTGTAGTGGTTAAGAGCGGTGGACTGGTAATCTGGTGAACCGGGTTCGCTTCCCTGCTCCTCCACATGCAGCTGCTAGGTGACCTTGGGCTAGTCACACTTCTCTGAAGTCTCTCAGCTCCACTCACCTCACAGAGTGTTTGTTGTGGGGGAGGAAGGGAAAGGAGAATGTTAGCCGCTTTGAGACTCCTGAAGGGGAGTGAAAGGCGGGATATCAAATCCAAACTCTTCTTCTTCTCCTCCATTTGGCTTGCAGGGAAAATATTGAGGCGTATAGCACAGTGCAGACGGTCAAGGATGGTTTCAGTGCCTTCTACAAACGGCCACATATTATTGAACAAAAAGTAAGCACAGCAACCTGGTGGTAAAATAATGCTTTATTTTATGGATGAACAAACACTACTATGGCGCATCTGGGCTTTCCCTCTACAGAAGGTTATGAACAGAGCAGTCAGTGAGCTCCTCTGCTCAAATTCAGTTCAGGCATACCAGCCACAAAAAGTTTATTGAAACCTGGACATCTGTAGCATTCACATGGTCTATTTGGAATTTGGCCGGAGGAAGCAGCATTATTCTGCAATCCCTGTTCACGTGAATTCTGATGAACGATAAATTATGAGAGAGAGAGGGGGGAAGGAAGGAAGGAAGGAAGGAAGGAAGGAAGGAAGGAAGGGAAGAGAAGAGAAATGTCCTCACTCCCCACTGGAATTATCTCCCATGGTGATCTAATTACCACCAACAGCCAACAGACTGAACCTAAAACGAAACAGAGGAAAACGAGGAATGCTGCGAAAGTGATCTGCGTCGCACTGCTGCCTGAGATGGGCAATTTACCAACAGCCACAATGTAAAAATGTAGAAATTGGCATTGACATTCAAGCTGTCCAAATAATAATAATAATAATAATAGTAATAATAAAGGATCGCACAATTGATATAGTTCGAATGAATACCTCTAAGGGGTCTTAATAAACAAACAAGTGTTATTGCATGCATGCTGAACACAAGACGTAATAATACTGGATTGCAGAAGGGACTTAGGGAGGGAGACTCGACAAATCAAAGACTTACATTCCTGTTATATACAACAAAATGAATTATACAGTATTCATACTAGCTGTACATTTGGTCAGAATAATTTACATTAGCCAAAACAGACAAAGGAAGAAGAAAAGGTGTGAGGGGGTTCAAAATGGTTTGAAATATATTTGTCTCTCCCAGGACTCTAGCGAGCAGGGGTTGGGGCGTGGGGATAGGAGGGAACTGTAGAGAGGAAGAGGGCTGCTTTTAGAAGCCAATGAGGAAAAAAGAAATGCAAACTTGCAATCCCAAAACCTAGGTTTCATCATCACAACAAGAGATAAGACCCCCCCCCCAAAAAAAAGCACTTTTGTTAGCATTGATTAAAATGCATACGTTATTGTGATGGTAGTATCTGCAGAGTTGGGATGATTACAGTCAACACAGGTTGGAGCCGTGGAAGAGTTAGGGGAGAAGAAATTGCCGCACAACTGAGTAGGCCTTTAAACTATGTGGTGTGACAACTGTCAGGCAGATCTCGTTGCCCCTCCCCTGCCCCATTACGACTTTGTTGTTTTTTAAAAGCATAGGACAGATTGCTTAAAAGCCTGTTTCATGTTAACAAGACCCAAAAAGCTACGTTGTAATCAGTGCATTAAAGAAATCTCCAGAAAGAGAGTTCCTGCAGGGACCCTACACCATGTAGTCTACTGTATTTAAGCAATTTCTCCCCTCTCCCCTTACCCAGAATACATTGCAGAGCTAAAGGATTAGTACAAGGCCGAAGGAAAATGAAGTGGCAGATAAACACTATATACAGAAAGACCTATACAGTGCATGAACTTTAATTAAAAGTTAGTGTGACTACAGCAGGGCTTGCTACAAAGGAAACCTCTGCTTAGCGGAGCAGTTCTGTAGCAACGACCAATTATCCGAAATGCAGAGGTCAATGGGCAAACAACACATAAATTGGTACCTTGGAAAAAATAATTGTGCTATAATCTTTATTCCATGGTTGGTAGTCTTATCTGAGACAATGAGGTGCTAACTAAGGGAACCCTAACACAGACGGATGGTGGGTTTTTCATTCCTACCGCTTGAATACTTTCAATGCAAAGGGGTTTGTTTAATAGTCATCTTGGGGGAATCTCCTTCTAAGTCCAGTTTCCTGATTTGAGCATCTTACTCCAGAAGTCACTTTGTGGCAAGAGAAGACAAGAAGATCCTTTCTTTTCTTTTTCTCATTTTGAACAGCAGTTTCTGCTGCGTTCCTCATGCTTAAATGTTCTCCCGTTCAGGAAAGAGTCATGATCTAGTACAAGCAGCAGGCGGACTGCTTCTCCTTTTCAGTTTTTGTTAAATACATGCTCATGTAATGCTTCTTTCTCCGGGGGGGAAACAGAGAGATTCAGTTGCATATTATTATTATTATTATTTATTATAAACTGCCTTGTGCCCATGAGCACAAGCCTGAAGGGTTATTCCTCATCGTCTTCCTCTTTTGTTGATACTACAGGGGGTTTGTCCTGGGGTTTGAAACACTCCGCGAAGAAATTGACCACGGACTTGTACAGGTGCTGTTCCAGGGCTGGGTTGTTGAAGTAATGACCTTCATCAGGGTATATCTGAAAATAAAGGAAGGCCGCCGTCAGCAGGTGGACAGGTAAAGATGTGCCACAGCTGGAGTTGAAATCCACCTTGAGAAACATCCAAGCTCATCCTCTCAAATCCAGAGCAGCCTTGCTATCCCCTGGGCTAAACGCAGAGATGGTGAGGGCATTTGACCCTTAAGAGAAATGAAGTAAGCGGCAATGATTCATTGGGCAAGAGATGTGGGACACAATATAGAGATGTCTTCGTGGGAGAAGTTGTGGAAGAATAACCCAAGATTTACTGCTTGAAACACTCTAAGAGAAAACTATATGAAGATTATTTATAGACTGCATTTAACACCAAAAAAAAGTTAGCCAAAATGTACAAAACAAAGTCAAGTATGTGTTAGAAGTGTAAAAGGATAGAAGGAACTTTTTTCCCCCCATATGTGGTGGCCTTGTAAAAAAAGCCAAGGGCTATTGGGAAATGATATATAATGAGATTAAAAAGATGTTCTAGTTGATGATTCCCAAGAAACCTGAAGCTTTTCTTCTAGGAATTATAGATAATGATGTACCCAAAGAGTTGGTTAACATTTTTATGTATATAACAACTGCAGCACAAATACTGTATGACCAAAGATGGAAAAGAGGAGAGGTTACAACAAAGGAAGAATGGCTTTTGATAATGATGGAGTACGTGGAACTGGCAAGATGAACAGCAATGATTAGAGACCAAAATGATGAAAAATTCACTGAGGACTGGAAGCCTTTTATTGAGTATCTAAAGAACTACTATAGTGAGATGAAAATGCAAGCAGGGTTTGAAATATGAGCAACAGCATTATTAAGATAAATAGGTTAAAATTGATGTATTGAATAGCATATGTGAAATGTGCAACATTCAATGGTAAATATGGAAACCATGGAAGGGGAGGACAAGAAGTCAATGGATAAAGTAATTTATGGCCTTATTTAAAGAAAGAAAGAAAGAAAGAAAAAGAAAGAAAGAAAGAAAGAAAGAAAGATGAACTAATTGGCAACTGGACAGCCACCTCTTTGTCTCAGGCATCCTTTGGCCTAACTGGGCAGCTGTAGCAGGAAGCCAAATGAAGTCTAGACGAGGACTTACCTTTGGATCTGGCTAAAGGGAAACTGCTGGTGGGAGGAGGTGCTCCCAGTGGGAGAGTGTGTTTTCCTACCAGGCACAGAACTGGGGCTGGTTGGTTAATGACCCTGTTTATGACCATTCCCATGAGGGATGAAGGCCCTCTCCTGTGGGGCAAGCACTGTTGTCTTTCTTCCAAGGGTTCTGGGACTGGAAAATACTCTGTGTTGGGGCTCGGGGGGGGGGGTACCTGCTGACGCCACTGCTGCTTCCCTCTTTTCTGGACCCAAAGCGTGGATTTTGGCGTCTTTTGGGGGCTGGGGAAGTGGGAAGCAGAGGGGGGCCACAGAGGTCTTTTTTAATACACTGAATGTTCACAAAACCCCGCCCTTTTGGGTCTTATTATAGGATGCTTGTGCACCCCTAACAGCTATCTCCTATGGCTTGCTACTTCATTGGTATAGTTGTGGAGTTTGCCGTTTTGAAGGCTTTTAAAGCTGCCATCCTTCCCTTCAATAGGCAAACCACAGAACAGAACATGCCTATTGATCCTCCTCCTTATAGCAGCCAGTTTCTATGCCCCAGCTTCTACTTTTCCATATTATTGCATGTTTGCAATGTGGGATTATCAATCTCTGGCAGCCACTAAGAGCCATGTGGTCCAAAAAGTACACCACTGCAATTTCACTATAAAGCACCGCACTGACTGAATGCAAAGTTGCCTATGCAGATAATGTGTATTAATGAAAAGAACGTGAACACATAAACAATACTTTACCTGCAAGCTGTAATTAGCCTTTGCCCTAATTAGGTGTGTGATGAGGTCAGCAGTGTGCTGGAAGTGGATTTTCTCTGTAAAATCAGATTAGGATCATTAAGTGCCAGAATAATAAAAAAAACTGAATAATAATAATAATAATTTTAAACATGCAAAATGTGCTGCTAACAGATTGTGTTCGCAGAGGCCTTACCATCAGCAGTTGCATGAATGATCAAAAACTTCTGATCTTTCATGGACATCGCTTTATGTGCCAGTTTAGTAGTCTGAGATTAAAACAGAGGTGAGTTTCAGCATTTTATGTCCTTGTACTAATAGTTCTTTGAGAACTTTACTGAGCATGAAAATTAACCAGTGGACTTAACAACAACGAGGCAGCACCTGCTGGGCTTTGGAACTGCCTTCCTATTGACATGCGACAGGCATCTTCGCTCGGCTGTTTTAGACGCCTGCTGAAAACTGTTACTGTTTCTGCAAGCCCACCCAGACCTAGAATTTGGACTCATAAAGGCCCTCAGGAGAGGCAGCGCCACTTTCCAATCAAATTCACCTGGCACTATTTAGTTTTCCTGCCAACCTAGCAGTTCAAAAGCACGTCAAAGTGCAAGTAGATAAATAGGTACCGCTCCAGTGGGAAGGTAAACAGCATTTCCGTGCGCTGCTCTGGTTCGCCAGAAGCGGCTTAGTCATGCTGGCCACATGACCCGGAAGCTGTACGCCGGCTCCCTCGGCCAATAAAGTGAGATGAGCGCCGCAACCCCAGAGTCGGCCACGACTGGACCTAATGGTCAGGGGTCCCTTTACCTTTACTTTATTTTAGTTTAGGTTCAGGTACTGCTCACCATTTTTGAGATCTTGTATTATCCAACGCTCACATTTTTGGAAGCCATCCAGCAATTTATTTATTTTGCTGCATTGGAAGGCAAGATTTAAACCCCCTAAATGGATGAGCACACCTATGATAATGCATGAAACACACAGACACAGCCTCTGCCACCAGCGGATTCTCCTGCGACCCAAATTATGTGCCCACAAGCAGCACCGAGAGGGCAGGGCTAAAAATCAAAGCTGTGTGTTGCATCTGTGCTAAAAATAGAGGCTCCTTCTGCCAGCTCCGTTATCCAAGTCATTACCTCATATGCTTTATTGTCAATCCCTTGTAATCCCAAGTATCTTTCTGAAAAGGCCGAAGCTGAAACAAACAAAGGGAAATCAGTGAGGCATTACCAAGCTCAGACCAATATTTCAAACAGCAAAATAAATAAATAAAACCAACTGTGCTTTCTTTGGCCTGGTTTCTTCTCTGAGGTGCTTGCAAGCTTTTTAATTTTGGAGGATTTTTGTCACTTTATTTATCTGGGCAAATAAAGATTTTTAAACAAAGATACCATTTTATCCTTTTGGGCATGTCGCTGGCTAAAGCTGAAAGGAATTATCTGTCCCAGACGCCATTGAGGTGCTGAGATTATAAAAGGAGTTTGTCCCCAAAGTGCCACCTGAAGCCAGGGATGGGGAGGCCACCACCTGGGGAGAAGACGGCCTTCTTAATTGTGGGCTCCTGATCAGGGAAATTTCTGCCTAAGGAGGCTGGCCTGGACTGCTTACTTTTTCTGAGGCCTTCAACTTTATTGCTGCTAGTTTTATCTGCTGTCATAATCGTTACACTGTTTTGCTGATGTTTATTGCTTATGGATGCAAGCAACATCGAGAATATTTGTATAGAAGGGTGCCATCCAAACCCAATGCGGTGTAGCGGTTCAGGTGCCAGAATAGGACCTAGGAGACCCAGGTTCAAATCCCCCCGCCCTCAGCCGTGAAGCTCACTTAGATTCTCAAAGCCCATGAGCACTTGCACAGTGTGATTGCTGAGCCAATGAACCCATGTCCCTGTGTCTGTCAGTATTTACCATATAATCTGAAGTCCGTCAGTGGGGAAAGAGCAGCGCCACAGGAGAAGACAGGGTCTTTATTCTCTTCTCCGGAAAGGAGGATGTAAGAGCTCAAGTAGCCTCCATAATCCTGAGAGGAAAGGGGAAGAACAACAAGATGAGGGCTGGAATGTAAAAACAATCCTTCTCAGATGGAGAGAACGCACCACATCACAATGCTGCCCATATTTTAATACCTCAGGAAATGGAAATCCAACAGGGAAAAGTTTCCAAATAAGCGGGAGATGCCCTAAATGGCCTCGGTCCAGTATATCTGAAGGAGCATCTCCACCCCCATCGTTCTACCCGGACTCTGAGGTCCAATGCCAAGGGCCTTCTGGCGGTTCCTTCACTGCAAGAAGCCAAGTTACAGGGAACCAGGCAGAGGGCCTTCTTGGTAGTGGCGCCCGCCCTGTGGAACACCCTTCCACCAGATGTCAAAGAGAACAACAACCACCAAACTTTTAGAAGACATCTGAAGGCAGCCCTGTTTAGGGAAGCTTTTAATGTTTGATGTATTACTGTATTTTAATATTTGGTTGGAAGCCGCCCAGAGTGGCTGGGGAAGCTGCTTATTCACAGGGCGGGGGGTTGCGTAACCCTGCAGGTGCCATTGGACCACAGTGCCTATCATCGCTGACCACTGGCCATGCTGGCTGGAGCAGATGAGAGTTGGGAGTCCAGCAGTCTCTGGAGGGCCACAGTCATTTTTGTTGTTTGGTTGCTTGAAATTACGCCTAGAGATTTAATGTTTTAGGGATTTATTATTATTATTATTATTATTTTGCATTTTACTGAATATCAGTGTGGCATCCCCTTTGAAAGGCACACCAGCAAACCTTATGTAGGTTTAAATCAATTCCACTTACAATTCAACAGGCCTCGAGAGAGAGAGAGAGAGAGAGAGAGAGAGAGAGGGAATGAATATTATCCAGGAATTAATGTGTAAAAATAAAGGCGAGAGGGCAAGGGAAAGCAAAGCCTCACAACACAGTATTTTCTCCCAAACACTTGGCATCTTCCTCTTCCAAGGCAGGATTTACAAGAAAACACAGATTGATGACTTGATTAAAAACCCAAGGCTCTCTCTCTCTCTCTCTCAGAATCAACAAGCAACGTGCCGCTGTTAAAAAGACGACCGTAATAAACCGCAGACACGCTCACTCAATCAAGATGCAGATCTAAACTCTTAAGCTGAAGGTGAAGGCTGAAAAGGCACTCACCTTTCCAAACACACCGACTCTCGACTTATCAATGTATGTGTTTTGCAGCATTGTGCTGAAAAAGAAAGAAAGACAGCAGGACAATTTGATTATCTTAAAGTAAGAGGGTGCCTTGAATATTGCATCCAGGATGCATTAACAGCAGCACAGGCAGAATTCCAAGTTGATATGCAAAAGCATCAGCTGCCAAAAGGCAGAGGCGACGTTTGCTGTCCTGAGCAGACACCATGTTCTTTTGCAACGCCACCACATTTTAAAAAACGGAATAGTACAAATCATTGAAAAGCAACAGCAGCAATTTCCAGGATGCAGTTACAAACAAAACCAATCCCCCAAAGGATTCTCTCATTCACCAGACAGCCTCCGTCTGGTCCTTTTCCTCGAAAACACCCAACCGCCTCTTCACGTCGTGGAGCAGCTTGGTCCCTTGGAAACCACTTCCACGCCCATCAAACTTCATCACAATGGCGCCATGCGAGCTGACCATGACGCTCTCCCAGTTCACCTCAAACTTTTCCGTCACGCTCTGTGTGCCCGGAGTCCCGTCGCTATAAAACAGGAACAAAGCAAGTGTTATCTCGTTACAATGCACAGTGACAACGAATGGTTTAGGGCAGTGTTCCCCAACCTTGGGCCTCCAGCTGTTTTCGGACTACAACTCCCATCATCCCTCGCTAGCAAGACCAGTGGTCCAAAAACAGCTGGAGGCCCAAGGTTGGGGAACACTGGTTTAGGGAAGCAACAGGAGAGGAAGGAACTGCAGCTCAGGGTTGCATCATGCACTGTAAAAGCAGAAGGCTCCAGCTGCAACCTCTGGGGTCTCCAGTTGAAAGAGTCAAGGCAGCAGGCGATGGGAGAGACATCTGCTGGGGAGCCACTGCCAGTCAGAACAGACCAGCCTTTCTCAACCTGTGTCTCCCAGATGTTAGACTACCATTCCCATCATCCGTGAATGGCTAGGGCTGATGGGAGTGGTAGTCCAACAACATCTGGGAAACCAAGGCTGAGAAAGGCTGGAGCAGATCCACTTAGTGCCCTCCATCAGCCCAAGTCAGCACGGCCAGTGGTCCAGGATTTTGGAAGCTGCAGCCCAAACATCTGGAGGGGAACAGGCTGAGAAAGGCTGGAGTAGACACGACTGAGGCAGATGGACAAACAGTCTGATATAGGGGTGGGTGAATCTGTCAATTTCAGGCTCTCATTTTTCCAACCCTAAATTCATTTCTCCAAGTTTTTACATCAGCTTGCAATTATTCTCATTTTTTTAAAGTCCTCATGAAAATTGACCAACATCTGACCAGAGCATTTCCTCCTCCTAATACGCATGTCTATATGCAATTTTGTCAAATATGCACATTTTTGCAGCGCAATCTTCTCCCATATAGTGCATTTTCATATACTGCTTTCACTAATACTACATGCGCATTACCCCACAACATGCATTTTTTCTACACATTACTCAGCCAGAGTGACTGCATTTCAGAATTTGGAGAACTGCGATTTTTTGAAGGATGGTTGTGTTTCAGTTCTTGCTCTGTTTTGGAAAGTGCAAATTGGGCAATATTCACCTTTGAACAGAACTTCTCCACTCCTGGTGGTCTGACCTGCTTCCATTGCTCCTTCCTAAGTGCAAGTGAATGCAAAATCCCAACTTCTCACATTTATGGCCAACAGCTGAAAGAGCGGATTGCACATTCATAAAATGTGCATGCGCTCCCCTTACCCGGAGCTCATGAATCTCCTTGTACAAGGCCAGCAGCACGTTTTTGTGGGCTAGCAGGCACACATACTGTGTGTCTTCATCCTACCTCTTCCACCCCCAAATACAAGTCCTGTCCAGGTTTCATTCTGCTGCGAAATGTGGGAGATTGCCCCAGAGGCCCCGTAATGACAGCTGCATCTTTTATGAATTTTATGCTGCTTTCAGACACCCCTACTATGGGAAATCAGTAGGTGACATCACCATCGGCTGGATAGCTTGGTTGGTTAGGGCATGGTGCTGATGATGCCAAGGTTGCAGGTTCAATCCCCGCATGGGACAGCTGCATATTCCAGCATTGCAGGAGGTTGGACGAGATGATCCTCAGGGTCCCTTCCAACTCTATGATCTCCAGGCCAACTCTATGATCTTCCAACTCTATGATCTGCCAGGCCATGGGCCTCAATGGATACCCAAGCATGTTGCTGATGAGTCCTGGAACTAGCACTCTGGCTGAGATGCAAAAGCCCCTCCTCCAGAGCTGACACACAAGCACAGGAAGTCAGAGGCTTCCTGTTGCCCTACATGTTTAATGGCTGAAAGGAACGGAGCTTATTTTTTCTTTCTTTTCAGGGTCGCAGCCAAACAGATAAGTTAACAGCAACGTGAAGTGTGATATATCACAATGCGTTTCTTTGCCAAGCCAAGATGTCAGATTTTATTTTCTTCGGGCACATGCACATTTAACTTCTCGTGGCAGCAGCATATCCGCTTCAGATTTCAAAAGGCAGTGATGGGTCTTTGGCAAAGCAGTGTGAACGCAGCAGCAATTTCATTTCATCTTAAAATAAATTATTTTCATATCACCTTTCACCCTGAGACAAAAAAGGTCCTCAACTAAGTGTGTAACTGCCAGTTACAACAGCTCCTCAAGCAATTTCATCACAATTTTTTTTATTAAAAATTAAAAAATTAAAATTCTATCTACATTAGGCCAGCCCAGCATGTTCTCACAGTCCACTAACTGCAACTTCCTCTCCTCCCAAAAACCCTTGCAACAAACCAAAAAAGTTTAGGCCCCACTTCTGAAAATGCCCAGGTTGTTAGCTTTGTAGACATGCTGGGAGAAAGAATTTGATGGGAATGGTGCCACGCTATAAGAGGAAGAACATCAGTCTAACCCCCAGTGGAGGAAGCACCCAGAACAGAATCTGAAAATGTATTAGGGTGCAGGAAGAGGCCCACTCTTGAAATTTCCTGGGCTCAGTCTAGCTAGGGCGGGAACAGCAAACCTGTTGTATTGTTGAATTACAACTCCCTTCACCATCCTTGACCACTCACCATGATGGCTAGGACTGATGGGAGTTAATTAAGAGGGCTGCCAGTTCCCTGAGCCTAATTTAGGGCTTTGAAAGTTAAATTAGCACAATGAATTGAACTCAGAAGCTCTGTTGGTAGAACATGAGACTCCTAATGTCAGGGTCATGGTTTGAGCCCCACACTGGGCAAGAGATTCCTGCATTGCAGAGGGTTGGGCCCTTCCATCTCTATAATTCTATGGTGCTATGTATCTCAAATGCATCTTCCACCAAGAAAATCTTGCAGGAAAGGATGGGGATATTTGCTGGATTAGTTTGCTGGATTAGGCAGCACTTAGTGATACAGGAAAATTCTTTTCAGGTTGGTTGGATCCTGTGTGTGGGTTTCTCTCTCCCTCCCCCCCCCCATCTCCCGTGCGTACAGCTTTCCTGATTTGCATTTATTCAACACACAGCCCAGCAGTGCATCCTCATTCTGAGGCAGTCTAATCAAGTGTCGTTAGCTTGATGAGTACCAATCTTCCTCAAGCACTTGTATAATGAAGCACATTTCCCCAGAGATAATTTTTGACGTGGTACGGCAGGCTTCATGACAGAGCTTTTGTCCTCCCTTCAAGCCAGCTTCGGGGTGACATTTTGGAACACACGGGCAATGTCATGCCCTCTTTTCGCTTGCAAAGGAAAAATAATTGTTTGACTGTATTTATTTACTTTTCATCCTGCCAGCTCCACAATGGCTCAAGGTCACATCCCAGGAAGGATTATGTGAGACCAGCCAGGAAAGCGTTCAGACTCTGATCAGGCCCGTATATGCGGGAGAATTAGGCTGTCATAGAATGAAGTGTGCGACTCGTTTGCTAGCCCACTTTTGAATGCTCCTTCACATTCGTAACAACACCTCCCTACAAATGGAAAGCAAGCACTGAAAAGGGAGAATATATTTTATCCCAGCCCCCAGCTGCTCTGGTTTTCTATTTGCTGGGAAGTTCTTAACATTGGTGAGCATTTAATAATATGACTCTTCACCCCAACATTATATTCTGCATGTGCCTAAGTTCTGATGCATGGGAACATCGTGGTTTTGTGCCACTGCTGTTTTTAATTAGCAAATATTTCTCAAGACCCAGTCAGCATGAGCAGACTCTGCCCTCCCAATGAGGCAGCTGCTTCATGTGATGAATTTATTTTTAAGGCTAGTAAGAGAGAGATAGGGTACATCTTGTCTATCGTAAATGAATGGGAGTTGGATAAGAGCAATGGTGTTTGGTTGGAAAATTCCCACTGGATTGTGTTGTATATCTGTGGTGAGGCTTTTTGGAGAATATATATATATGGCTTAATTTAACCATATGCAATGGATATTAATAGGACCTCTCTTTCTTAACTATGCACAAGAGGGCAAGTGGCTCAGAAGATCCAGTAAACTTCTGCATCTGCCACTGTCTGCCCTGACTCACGTAGGGAAGGACCACAGGGCACTGGCAGGAAGGGGTGGAGGAGAAATTCTATCCAGTTTGCATTGAAAAGCAAACTGCCCAAATCCTCGCTTTCGGAAAGAAGCAAACTGAAAAGCAGCCACCCTTCAAAATCCCAACCTTTCTGAATTTTGCAAATGCAGTCTTCCAGCCAAGCAATGTGCAGAAAAATGCACCCACTAGGCCAAAGCATGCAGATATAAATGTATATTTTAGGGGAAACAACATTCCAAAATGTATTGTGTTGGCTGAAATGGCTTGCAAAAATGTGAACATTTCTCAAAACTGCTTGAGTTTATTACAATAAATTTGTACTAAAATGCTGAAGAAATTTCACGATGATTTCTTTTTATCTTTCTTTCAATTGCAGAAATGTGGAGGAGGGAATTGAGGACTGGAAAAACGAGAAACTGGGAGAACCAGAAATGGACACATTTGTCCACTCCTTGTGGCAGAGCACATACTTTTCATGCAGAAGGTCTCAGGTTCAGTTGCTGGCATCTCTAGCTGGAAGGATCAGCCAGCAGGCAATGGGGAAAAAAGAGTCCTCCTCTCTGCCTGGGAGCCTGGAGAGCTACTGCGGGTCAGAGTAGACAATACTGGGCCAGATGGGGAAACCGTCTGGAAGGCAGGAAGATGGAGTAGTTGCCCTATGCTGAGTCAGGCCATTGGTGCACCCAGCGTCTGGCTGGCAGGGCAGAGCACAGAGATGCCCACGGGAGGCGGAACAGGAGCCAATGGCAGGCAGAGTCAACTAACTCTTCTCTTGTCTTGCTCCCGGCTGTGTTCTATAAGGGCAACACTGAGATAAGAATGGGGAGGAAGCTGACAGGCAGTGCCACCCTCTGGACTGGCTGCAAGTAGGCAGATAGGAGCTCGTTGAAAACAGAAGTTGGTGGGCAGTGCCCCCTTCATGCTAATGGGGCAGACTCCAATCTAGCTCAGCATTGCCTACAGCAACTGGAAGAGGCTCTCCAGGGATTCAGACAGATCTCAGCTCTACCTGCAATTGAAGCTGGGACCTGTTCTGCGTGCAGAACAGATGCTCTGGCCCTGAGCTATGGCCCCCAACCCAGTATGGCAGTTTCCTGTTTGCTGCAATGGCCCCTTGCTCCTCGCCTGCTCTATTCTGTCCTCAGCTACTCAGCTTTTGCCTGGCTTTGCCAAGCACTGCTCCACTCCCTAACCTTGTATGTCCAAAATCCAATGTTTCTACTAGCAACAAGCAAAGCGCAGGCTGGCTTGGGTGCCTAGATGTCCACTGAAAACGATACAATTCATAATGTTACTCACACAACAAGAAGCAAGGGGTAGTGCATGTTTTCGGTGAAGACGGCCGGCTTTGAAATCTGCATCGGCAATTCTAGATAAGAGACATAAGGAAGCTCTTAAGTTTGAGGAGGTTGTCATTATGCTGAATGATATTTTTCTTTTGCTGGTAACACGGCGGCGCTTCTCAGTGGGAACAAAACGGCGTTCCAAAGACTAGCTTGGCAAATAACACCTTAACAGAATATCTACGCCTTCAAAGAGGAAGCCTGCCCAGCGTTATCGAAGATGACAAGGAATCTGGCGCTAAGGTGCGGTGCGTCGCTTGGTCATGCACCAAACATGCAATTAGTGGCCACTGACATGTATTATTTCCCCCTGTAGGCAGGTGGACGAGCTGCAGAACCCAAAGCAATATTTTGGAAGCACTAGGGGAGGGAAAGAGAGATACTACGTGAAATAAAAATATCCCATGGCGAGGAGGAGAAAGTTGCTTTCCTCTTTTCCTGCTTTCAGGGTTTTTTGAAGACAAAAGGTTCTTCTTGTGCATTTTAAACACCAGGGGTTTGATTGCAACTTGCCCTGGTAGAATAAAACGAAGCAGAAAAGACTTAATTGGATGAACTAAATTAAGAAGGCGCATTTGCAGGAACAGCACACTGGTTGAAGGAATGTGTCTTAGAAGAACAAATAATGGTGCTCCGCGTTTTTCACCCCCTTGGGTGCATATTGGTGCAGACATAAAGAGGCTGCTGCAGGAGATTCTTCCTGCCTTGGTTTATTTTCAAAATAAACTACAGTGCACAAGGACAACATCCTGGCAATCAGTAGCCAGATTAGCCAATAGGTTTAAGCGGCTTGCTTTGCAATCTTCTCATGACACTCTTGCCTAATTAATTTATTCCATCAGACTTGCTAATAGATAGCTGATTTGTATCATTAGCCGCAGGACAGCCAACAACTCGTGGCTTTAAATATATTTAAACCAAGGCAGAGATAATTCAGCATGTAAGACAGGTTTTGAACATACAGCTAGGTTCCGAGGAAACAGTTGTGCAATTACTGTCAGTATATATTTATGGCTCTGTCCATCAGCACATACCTATTCCAAGGCTCAAAGCAGATGATCTATTTATATGTCCGATCGCATTTAATGTGTCAAGTTTTTTTCTTTTAAATAAGGAGTTGGGATACCCTTTGCATCCTACTGCAGTTCCTGCAAAGACCACCCTTCCTAAAGAAACTACTGTTGCTTCAGGCATAAAGCATTATTCCTGGGCCAAATAGAAGCTTCAGGGGAGCCACCTTTGTCAAGTCCATGCTGGGGGGCGGGTAAGGGTTAACCCCCTTCCTCCCCACAGAACATGCTCTTAAATCTGATAGAGCCTCCATGGGTTTATTTTAATTTGGGGGGTTTCAATTAAAGAGCAGAGACAAAAATACATAAGACATAAAGAAAAGAAAAACCTTACTGTAATCATGAATCTTGATTTCTGTGTATTCCACTTTGGGCATCTGTCTTTCTGCTACTGCTTTCTGGACCTTTTCATTTACCTCTAGGTCAAAGAGTTCTGGAAGAACAGGGAGAAAAAATAATCCAAGATGTCTTACAATGCATTTGTTAATTCTATACTGATAAAGAGCAACCAATTTTTTTTCTATTATGCAAAACTGGAGGGCGGGAGAAGTGGAGAAACAGAAGCGCAGAATTTGCAAAATGGGCAATAACTAGTTGGAATATGATGGCTATTAGGAAGCTGACAGCGTAGGTGTGTGTTATGAGAGAAGTTCCTGGTATAGCTCAGTTGGCAGAACATGAAACCCCTAATCTCAAGGTTGTAGGTCTGAGCCCCACTCAATGATCCCTGCATTGGTCCCTTCCAACTCTAGTATTCTGTGATTTTGTAATCTCTGAACTTTTTTTTTAGCACAAAGCAAAAGTCTGCTGAGTCTGCAGAAGACTGTCCTCTTCAAATAAGCCTTCTAAGAAGAGATTTTTAAAAACAACAACATCCCAGTCAATACCTGTATTAGATTTGAAATAGTTTTTATACATGTAATCGTTTTAACTATTTTTACACACGTAATGGTTTTTATTGTTATTGTGCAATTGTTTTATATCTGCTTTTATGGCATTGTGGAATTTCTTCATAGGAAGTGATCTATAAATGAATGAATAACCACTGTTCTGAAGCTTCAGCCCAACATTGCCCATTCAGAAAACCAACCAACTTATACTGATCCGCTGTTCGATGTTTATTATCATCTTAATTATGTTCAGGAGCATTTCTTCTGCTGCCATTGATCAATACTGGCTGCTCCACTTTTTAGCTGCCACTAACTGCAGGTTTTCATTGCGACTTTACTGTGTGGTGCTGTTTCTTTTTCAATTCCTTCAGTCGATCAATAGATAACTCAAGAGAGAGGGAGGCAGGGAGTCCTTAAATCCAGCCCTTCTCACACTTTTCCTTAGTAGCTGATCAGCACTACCAATGCCTCCTCCTCCTAATGCATGGCTTTACCTGGATCGGGGCATTGGAGCAGCTATATTTCTGATAGGGAATTGCACTCAGGAACCAACAAACACAGAATCCACGTGGTGCAAAGGAAAGGTCTACATTTGGTGTTCTTCAGAAGAAACACCAGTGTTACCTATCCTCATAATAACCTCAAGCTAAACTGTACTTTGTTGGTAACACTTTTTTTTTTAATCATGTGCATATTTGCAAAGTATTGATGATGCATCCTAGAGATTGATGCACATATTTGACAGGGAAGCCAGTGAGCTAACAGGCTGGGAATTTGGGGAGGAGAGATTTTCATTTATGCATGAATTATGATAATCTATGCATGGACCACCCTAAAAACGGGGGCGGGGGGGGGAGGCTTCTTTCTGCCCTCCACCCAAGTGTATCGTTTCTGCAACTCGTAATCATATTCTGGGCTTGAGTGTTTGTCTCCAATGAATTAAAAAGGAGAAGAAGCTTCACAAAAGCCTGCCAATTCCAATCAGTGTGCCCCCCCCACTGCTATTTCAGCAGGTGGGTTTAATGGTTCAATGAGTATTCAGACTTGTTCCTGAAAAGCCTGCTCTCATCTTTATTGAAATCATAACCCCAGCGAAAGCTCCAAAGCAGCAGACTATTAAGTTTGGTTAAATGTTAGGATCCTCATTTAATTATGGCTCGCACAATTAGCTTTATCAGCAGAAAGAGGCTGGCCACGCCGGGACTCCAGAAAAGCCATTCTATTTGCTCACATAATTGCATCAAGAGGAAGGCGGGAGCTGAGTGGGAGAAACAAGAGGAGACTGACATATCTCCCAGAGAATTCTCAATTTATTTCCCTGCCTTGGGACCGCTGGGAACTCTTGTCTGCGCAGTACAAATAGCCGGCTCTTAATTAAATGTAAGCACACCATAATATTTGGTGGGATTTACAGTTATCTGATTGCTGCAGAATAGTCCCTTAATGTGGCCTCGTATTATGAAGTAAATAGAACTTTGCTAAGAGGAGGCCATCACAATGGCTGTCTTTATCCAATATGGCAAGAGAGCACCGTATAAGAACCAGGCATATGATAATCAAATGCAAAGCGAGGCAATTTGGTAAAGCTTTGTGCTTGCCTATATTTATTTATATCACACTTATCTGGGAGTAAGGCTGCGTATACAGCATACATTTAGAGCACATGACTTCCCCCAAAGAATCCTGGGAACTATAAGGGTATTGGGAACTGTAGCCCTGTGGGGGGGGGGTAAACTGTGTTTCCCATTTTGCTTTGGGGGAAGCCATGTAGTTTAAATGCATTGTGTGTATGCAGCCCAAGTCCCACTGAACTTCAGAACAGACGCGGCTAGGATTGCAATGGCTATATGGTTATTTTGCTTTTCTTAGCCTTGGCTTCCTCTATCCCATCTCCAGCTTCACCTTCCTCACCTCTAACCTTGCTTGAATGCATTTCCTCAAAGGTAGTTCTGTGCTGAACTTTTGAAAGGTCTTGGTTTTGCTGCAAAAGTCAGCCATCTGCGGTGAGTGAAAAATCCTTACTTTCTAATCTTTTGTACAATTGGTTCTGCATCTGTTTGTAGACCATATTCTCCTGGTCTGGTGCTTCTTGAGAGGACATTTGCCTCCACTGTAACCTCCTAAACTCAGCACTTCCCAAACTTGTTGGACCACTTGGAAATGAGGATCATTATTATTTAATGCATCTATATTCTCCCAAGTTGGGATTCAAGGCGGCTTACAAGATGTAAAAACAACATAATAAAACATATTTAAAAACAACACAATGAAACAAAAAGTAAAAAGCAAACTAGTAATTAAACTACACCAGAGCACATTTAGAGCCAGCAATTAAAACACAGTTTGCCCAGTGATCAGCACCATTGGCAACTAACTTTCTGAACAGGAAGGCCTTAGCCTTCTGGTGAACAAAGAGGGAGTCAATCTAACCTCCCTTGGGAAAGAATTCCAGAGTATGGGAGCAGCTGCAGAAAAGGCTCTGTTTGCTGGGGATGTCAGCTGATCACTTAATAACTCCCCCCACTTAGTGCCACTATCATCATCAACAAAACCAGCCCTGTATTATGAAAATCTTGGGCCCTTAGGTCAGGCTGCTGAGAAGTGCCAGGTGATGTCCTCTAGCCTTCCTTTCCCCTCTTCTGTCAACTGACATAATTGCTATTCAACACCCCAACTATTATTCCACACTTCTAAGCAACCTCTTCCCCCTCTTCTTCCAATCTAAACCCAAAACACGGTTCATTATATTGTCTTTCTGCGGGCCTTTGACCTCTGGTGGGATCCTTGCCTTTCTTTCCAATTTTCCCCCTTCTCCCCAATTACAGAAGTCTGAAATGCTTTCTCCTACCATGTGATGACCACTTACTTTGTGCATCTGATGTGTTGTGGACTGTTACCAGTGGAACTCTTGGACCTTGAAAACAGGGAGAAAGAAATGCATCACATTAAAAGAGAGAGAGAGAGAGAGAGAGAGAGAGGGAGAGAGGGAGAGAGGGAGGGAGATGCATCTAAAAATTATATTTAAGAGCCTGATTCCGAATCCCTTGGAGCCGACCAAGGATTACATTTCATGGAAGGCTGATCTAAGCAGCAAATCACCCAGGGATAATTAGCAACCACCAAACAGAAAGACATGTAAGACAGACAGCCTTTCCCGATGGAGTGCTCAGTGTGTCTTCTCTAATTTGTCAATATTTTAATTAGCGCAAACACAATTAAAATCATTTGCTTTTTTTAGATGATTCCAACATTGTGCAATTTATGCCGCACAAAGCATTTCTATCTTTATGCACCTGATGGATGGGGTTCAAGGGAAATGAAAGCTTTAAAGATGCAAAAATTTCTGGGTAGTTTACTGCTAACAACATCAAGCTGTCATGGCCCCCTGGCTTCAGAAATCATCGCAGGACAGGGTGCGGCAAGGTAGATTAATGCAATGTGCTGGAGGTGGAAAAGAGAAGGCAGTGATCACTGCTGTCAAAGAAAGCATGCAGACAGATCTAGACCATTAGATCAGTGGTATAAGTAAACCTCATTGCATTTTGTTTACAGTTTTCTTTCTCAACTTCAGCTCAAGGGAAACCAGAACACAGCTGTTCACAGCACTGATTGGCTGGAAAGAAACCAGTGATGTCACTAACACACACACACACACACACACACACACACACACACACATCTGAAGCTGTCTTTCAAGGTTGTAGAAATTGATTCTCAAAAACGTTCAGAATGGAACGAACTGCATGCTGCATTTTCAAATCACATGAGGTCCTTAAAAAATAAAGAAGCAGAGAGCTACCTGGAATGGAGGAAGGGCAAGACAGACTACCAAACCAGCAGTCAATCTGAATGCCAGCATGTCAGTCAAATGTGTTGCAATGAGCCTGAACGGCAGAAGGAAGAAAGAAAGAAAAAAACACAGACATCTGTGTTTGCATGTGCATGTGCATCTGTCCCCACTCAGAGTGTGACAAATACTCAAGTGCCCCTGCTTTTCTTCTGTGAAACACTGGCACATATGAATTTAATTATCCTGCTCACACATTCAAAATGCATGCAGGAAATGTAAATGATAAGCTCTTTGATGACTAAACATATTACGTGGAGTGTGAAATATTCTGTCGGAAATCAGCTTTCACAGTTTGCTCTTTTTCTTGAGAGGAGACAGGCCAGACAGAAAGTATGAGAATTTTGGAAGCACACAGTCAATTGCAGCTCCTACTTTGCTTGTGCAGCAGCCCAGTGACTCTTGTTCTAGATCAGTGTTTCCCAAACCTGGGTCTCCTGCTGTTTGTCAACTACAATTCCCACCATCTATGACCATGGGTCCTGCTAGCTAGGGATGATGGGAGTTGTAGTCCCAAAACAGATGGAGGGCCGAATTTGGCCATCACTGCCCTAGAGCATTCAGGAACATGCCGGATTCCACTGATTCCAGTCTCCACTGGTGGGCCATCTGAATGGGACCACCACCCTTTCAAGGGGGAATTGCCATCGTCAGTCCAACGTTAACCAGATAATGGTCCAACCATGACAAGGAAGTGCACTGCACTCCCCCTCTCTTCAGTCCTCATAGCATTTGGGGCAACGATCCCATTGAGAATGTGCCCTGCCTGATGTGCTGGACCGATGAGAGACCCATGGTTGTCATGGAGGCCATGAAGTTTTGAGTTGGTCCAACAGCAGCCTCCACATGGATAATGAGGTCCTCCAACAATACCCTACTTTATGCCACTGCACTGGGTGAAGGCTCTCTCTGGTGCTTGCACAAGCATTCCCAGGGCAACAGTTTCTCCTTTGGCTCAGTTCCTCCCCCAGTCCAGGCTAGGTAATATACCTCTCTGTTAGGAATCCATGAATACTACGTATGTTGCTTCTGGGTGGAGCTCATGGATAAATTGAAACCTGCAAACAATAGTATATATTTTTCTTCTTCGGTGGCTTATGATATCATAAGCGACTCATTTCCTTCTCACCTCCCCAGATTAGTGTGAGCATGAAAACCAGCAATGGTGATATTATCCTGGATGTGTGATCAAAAGTGCCTGTTTGCCACGTCCAGGCACTGCAGTGACAGGAGGAGGAAGGCTTTGATTAATTGAAATGCATGACATGGAAGGCTATGATGATCCTGCAAAATGGGCACAGTTTATTAGCTGTGAGCAACACAAAATTATATCATTGTTGAGACAGAGCCATGCTAACATACAGCTAATGCCTAGACAATAAGCACAGTAGCCAGGACCCAAAGCTTTGCACACAAACACAGTAGATTTAATCTGACTTATTCACCATCAGTATCATCCATCCTTGAAAAGCCCCTTCCCCTCAGGGTGAGAGGACCTCAGAGCAACACGCCATGCAATGAAAGGGCTGGCAGCATTAAGAAGAAAAATGTTATCTCCCTTTGCCTATGTGGAAGTGCTATGCGTGTATGTGTACAAGTCACTCCGAGTCCCAGCCTAAGTCATCTAAAAGCAAACGAAAACAGTGCACCAGGGAGCATCAGGTTAATGCTCTATTTTTGTCACAAATATCAATGGGGAAACGCTGTTTTAAAACTGCACCACTCTCTAGATAGTTGCTTAATTAACAAACATTAATCAGCGAGTCCAATACCGCTTGCCAATTTTTAAAAAAAGAAGTTAAAACATTGCCAAGCGCTTTTGGAGAAACCCGTGGTTTTATTTCCAAAGAGCGTCCAATGTTTTCCCCCTTTTAAAAATCTCGTGGAAATCATGTCAGCGAATTAATCTGTATTCAGCGACAGCTACCAAAACACAGAAACAGTACATGGGAGATGAGTGGAACAAAACGAAACAAAACGCAACGTAAAAGGAGAACCTGCTCTCTTTGGCTCAGCAGCAGTTATGTGCAGCCCATAATTTCAAACCACAAGTGAAACTCCCACTATGTAAACAATGAAAATTGAAATTGTCTCTGCCAGGCTCCAGCAGAGTATCTTTTAAGCAGCAATGAATGATTTAAAAGGGCAGCTGCAAGCCGGAAGAACTCAAAGGGCCCGAGTGCTGCCGGAGTATGATAATTGGCAACGGCCATCGTGCCCCAGCGTACAGCTTCCAATATCTCTTTATTTGCTAAGCCATGCATTATGTATAGCTTAACGCACCCCAGTTCATACATGGATACCATATTATCATACTAATAAACAAAGGCGCTGGGAGCGTTGGGGAGCCACCGGCTGTAATTAAAAGATCTGTCCTGTCATTGGCGTGTTCAGATTCAAGACCAGAGACAGATGTTTGTGGCATGTGCTGGCAATCACCAATATCAAAAAAAGTATATTGAACTGCTTTCCTAAGCCTCCAAGGCATTTATGTCATCCCCCCCTCACCGCCATGTTTCACATGCGTCCTTCTTGAAAAGGCTATCAGTCGCTACTAGACACAATGGCCACACTCTTGTTTCCATTCTTGGGGGTATTCTGAATGCCAGATGCTGGTTATTACAGATGGGGAGAGTGCTGTTGTGCTTTTCGGACACGCATCTGGTTTGCCAACTTGAGAACAAGTTGAGGGCTGGATGAGCTTTTCTTTGGCCTGATCCAGCCGGGCTCCTGTTCTAAGTATTAAGATCATGTCGTTCCACAGGTGTGCATACAGCAAAGCAAATCAATAACCACCTATGCTGCCCTATTTTCATGCAATTTAAGAAGATGGATTTGTTCTGGCAGTTCAGGGGCTAATTCAGAGATCCCATTTTACATTATGGATGACTGGAAGGAATTGCAAGTGTGCAACTCCCCATTCGTGGGGCAATCTGCTTATCTGACGGAACAGTTCAGGTCTGCTAGGCAGAGACCTGCTCCAAGGACCCTCTTCAGCAGAGGCATGTGGCTATATTTCTACAAAAGAGAGGGTCTTTTCTGTGGTGGCACTCCAACTGTGAAATGTCCTCTCTAAAGAGGCTCACTTCATGCTGACGTTAGAAACTTTCAGAGCCAGGTGAAGTCCTTTTTCATTGGCTCAGGCATTTTGGACGGTAGTTGTTGTTGCTAGCATATGTCTGGTTTTTGGAACTGTTTCTTTTCTGTTTTTCTTTATTTTTAGCTTTCGGGATGTTTGTTTCATCTTGCATTTTGTTATACTCCTTTATTGGTTTCAGATTGCATTTATATGTTGTGTGAATTGATTTTACACACACTTCTATAAACTGATGTGGAATCTTTCAATGAAGGGTAACTAAGAAATATTTTGAGTAAATAAGGAAAAAATACCTAGCTCAACATGCAGATCTCCTGCTCATTCTTATCTGGAGCCGCTCTATACAATCAGGAGGACTAGATGCTTACTTTTTAAACCATCAGAATGAAAAAGAAAGCTGAAATCTCAGTTTTCTTTTAACAGATCTGCATGTCACACAAACAATGTTGATAAAGTGGCATTTTACATTTTGGGGGAAGGAAAGAACTTGCTTCCCCAAAATACATTTTACATTCTGTGGCTTCTCCCTCTTTTTGAGTCCCCCCCCCCCCCGCAAGCAAGAGATTCTTGAGTGCCTGTCTTTAGCATTCCTGCAGCGCTCACAAAAAGTTAAACAGGTCTCTTGAAATCAGAAAACAATAAACCTAATAAAGACTCCAGCTGGCACAGAGGGTGAAAGATGCAGCTCTCCTCCAAGCTCTAAATCTTGAGGGATGGGAACATCTGCACTTAGACTCTCAAGAATAATGAGTTCAGCCAAGGTCATTCATCAAGCTGGAAATAAACACACACACCCCTCCTGTTCTCAGCACCGTGTGATGACACCTCCATTTCTTCAGCTTTGTTACTGAGGGCACTAGAGGGATTTAGCTGCTATTATCATTGATTGCTTGAAAGGGGAATTGGACCATTTAGGGCAAATCTGTGCTACTGAATTAAACTGGTTTCGCTGTCGATTTCCTCTGCCCAG